CTGTAAGAAAAAACCTACAAAAATGCACAATTGAAAATATGAGATCTTTTGTTGGTCAGGTTACCGATCGATCATTTTGGTATAAACTTGCTGAAATACTCGCTTAACAGTTATCCGGTTAACCAATAAAATAACCGAGAATCGACTATATGGTGCTATGATTAACCGACTAATATAAATTATACGATTAACCGTAAACAAATCATGCTAAACGATTAACCGAGAACCTACTAAATTTTTTGTTATAATCAAATCAAACCGAATGCCAACCCTAATGGTCTCCTTTTCAAATTTCATGTATGTACCCATTTTGTAAGCGTAGAGTTGAATTGTGGTCTCATTGCGAAATTCGGTGCAAACGTAAATGCGTTTCCTTCTTTCTTTTCATCTTTCATTTGTTTCGCCAAGAAAGGTTTTGTTCTGTTCTTGCATGTGTTGCTAGCTAGCTATGGTAAAGGGAAACAAAAAAACATGAAACAATTGAGGGACCTCATTGTACTAAAATTGAGAAAAGGCACTCCCAAAATTGAGGGACCTCAGTGTGCTATTTCCATAATTGAGGGACTGAAACGAGAGAGAAAAAAATCATGTCTTCTAGATGTTAGTTCATAAGAAGTTCAGAACCCAATGAAAAGGACTGGTGGACGGGTTAATCAGTCTTCTAATAGCAAAAATGCAAAATTCTTTCTGGTTGGCTGCAATGGTGACCTAACAAATGCTTTGCCTAGCTCTCCTAGAAATATAGGGAAATAAAATAATACTACTTAACCTTATAGTTTAACTTTACTGGCATATTCCCAAACAAGTTACCTGTTTTCTTCAGCATTTTAGGCAAAGTTCGGAGAATTTTATAAGTAAAGTAGTATATGAGTCGAATTGGGTCGAGTTGAGTTTGATCAAACTCGAAATCATTTCGTTAATAGACGAGTCGAGATCTACCTCGGTCTATACACGAAAAGATTCTCACCGACGATCTTATTAGCACTTTTTCGCATTGATGTTATGTTGGATACTTACTGATTATGAATTAGTCTGGTTTATAGATGATAATTAATCAGATAAACAATTTTAGTATCGACTTCAATTTTCATCGATGAAGTTAAGTCAACCAGATATTGATTGACACCATTAACCAGTAGTAGCCAGATTGAGGTGGTCCTTGAACGAGAATCCCCATCCTCAGCCCACTGGTCCTATAACCATATAACGTTGGTGGGACTTGGAGTGATTCGACATAAACCCTAACGGGCCTTTTCCACCATACTTTTGATACCTCTAACCTCCTCCAATGGCAGCAGAGAGAGTGATATGGAACATTTGTATACTCGTGTTGTGGTCCAATGACCAACACTAAAATTTTAGGTTTGAAACACGTTGAATTACTGAGAATTTTGAGTGTATTATGAATTTGAAAGAACTATTGTTTGCTTGTTGGATTAGATGAAATGGTTTTTCTTGAATGTCATCCTGAATTTAGGGTCACGTCTCAAATCAAACTTCTTATCATGGTATTTGCACCCTTAAAGTCCATGGACCCGCAAAGTTGATTCCGTAACAATGACAAGCAGAACAATGAACTTTGTCACAAATCTACAAAAGTTGGGATTTAGTACCCAAATCCTCCATCAAATCCACGAAACAAATGACCCATATTTTCCATGTTTTGTGGTAGGGTTTTGCTAGTGGCATGTGTGTGTTTGAAGTGTTTGGCTGGACCGAGACTGAATAGAAATCTTATGCCCTTTTGGTGTTACTGCTTCTCTAATGAAAATGACAAATGTGGGTTTGGGGGATGGCTCTGTTGAGTTTCCAAAGGCGTGTTCATATCATATCCATGAGAGACCACCACCCCCACAAACCACTCCTCTTCAATACAGACAAGTACACGAGAATGAAAAGTTAGAGAAGAGCCATTAATGATCAGCGCCATTAGTTTTGTGATAAAGATCTCTTGATGGCAACCCTTTATCGGCCACGAAAAAGTCTGAAAAGGATGATGGTTGGATGGATGAAGAGACTTGGAACTCTGTTTCCTTCCTGTGTGAATTGCCTGGGAAGTGCTTTCTCAGTTTCATCTTTTCAACTTCAGGCCATAATTACTTGGGTTTTTTGGTTGCACATGTCCTGTTTATGGAGGGCTTCAGCAGACTGCTAACTACTGATATAAATTGCTGCAAATTTGAGAGGGAATCCTATTAATGAAAATCTGGTGGAGGTTCAATGAAGTGGGTGTGATGTGAGTGAGGCCACAATTTATGGTTGATGTATCCAATACATACCAGAAGGACTCACTCCTTCCCCCAACTCTCACTTATTTCACATCATAAAGGAAAAAAAGATTCTGAAAGTAAAATTGATTAGCAGTGTCATGAATTAACCAACACATTACTTGCTTCCTTCCTTGAACTTCAACTCTGTACTGTAAGTCTGTAACAATATTAAAACCCTAAACCCTCTTTCTTTTTCTTGGACAGAACATCTATGGATCTCCCAGTACCTATATCTCATTGTACAACTAACTGAACTTAAGCTCAACAGAGTATCTTGAGTGTTCAATTACAATACTGTAGTTGACAGCTACTCCTTCTGCACTACATACATAGGTAGTACCTCCTAGCAGCTGCAAAGAAAACAAGTAATTTAACGTTTCACTTCGATGTTATCATCTTTTCGCAAGCGCGGTTCTTGAACCAATGGATTAGTCTTCTCCTCCATCTGGGTTTTTTCCCCCGCTGCGATGCACACATCTGCATCAGAAAGCAAATGGAAATTGACAACCCGAGTTTCCAGTTTCTTTTGATACAAACAAGATGGATGAAGGCTGGTTCTCTAGGCACATGGAATAGGGCAGAAATTTTCCAGAGTATACGCCAAGTGGAAGACATTCTCAAATCATATCAAAGCATGGAGTTTGAAATCCCATCATGTCAAGCATGAAGGAAACCAAACCCCCCATGCAAATATCATATCAAAGGCCCCGCCAAGAAGAAATTTAACATTGGAATTTATGTGAATTAAAACCGATGACTAGGCTTATTCAAAGTAGATGTATGTATGGATATAAAAAAACAAACAATAACAGTACAGTCACTTAAGGAAGGGAGTAAAGCTCTGGGACCCTCTTCTTAATCATAATAAGAATGGTATGAAACTGCAACCAACAATACATGATGCAACAATAAATATTAATCCTTTTCAGGGAAGACAGTGGAAAGAAGGAAGCTAGGGTGAAATAAGAGCTAAAGAGAAGCATCAAATAGTGAGAACTGCAGTGAACAATAAGGCATCCAGAAACAGCAATACAACCATTAAAACACGTTAGTCTCCTCTAACTAAATGCATCTGCACAAAGTCATAAATTTGCAATTTAAGAGAAAAGTAAACTGGTAGGTAGAGCCACAGTTACTATTTATTGGGATACCAAGATGGTGAAGTAAATGACGCACAAAAATGGATGATTCTGAAAACTTGAGCAGCAGATTATGTGAAGTTCATTATCAGGATCATGGCCGGCTACTTACAAGCTGAGTTTTCAGGTTTAAGGTCAACATAAGTAAAAGTTTCTTCCTTCAAATGGCACTTCCAAAGAACAACTTCCGTCGGAATCCATCTTTCATTCAGATTTCAGACCACTTTGAATGATTGAAGATTGGTTATTGCAGCACATCAGCGAACAACTAACCAGGTAACACAGAAAGATCAGGTAGCATATAGGGATTAGCCAGCCATCCATAGTACATACTCAAAGGACAAGGCCCCACATTTGAAATTTACAGGTTTCTCCAAAGTATGAGGAAACTATCTCACCAAAAAGTGTAATTGGTGAATGATACATCTGAATACACATACCAGTACATTGATGTGAATGTGAGTATACAAACGTCTAGTCGGAAGACACGGATTCCTGATCAAGCTGGTTTCTTTGTTCAGCCAATTCGATTGCTACTGTATCATTCACAACAAATTTTGCACTTTTGCATTGTAGCAACTGTTCCTGAAGATTCTGTACGAGCTCATTCAGCTCCTGGATATTCTTTTCTTGAGATAGGATAATCTGCAGCACAACATTTTAAAAAACTAATACTTAGCAAATTTTAGAAACTCCTACAGCACAATCAGGAGAAGGATAAGCTCAGTCGTTAAACAAACAACAAGATGAAACAAGATGAGAACACAACAAACCAACAAAAGGAAAGATAGGATGCAGCAGAAAGAGTTCCAGTTCTACACTTCCACCTTCTCACATCAGAATTAGAAAGGCTGTATATGCAAGTAAAGTAATTCCCCCTGGGGCATTTGTTGTCACTAGTTCAATAGATATACTACGAAAACATGACCAACTCCCCCATCTTAGCTTCCCAAGTTTAGTAAATTCCTCTACCTGTAAATGCACGTAAAGTTCCAATCTTTAGTGGCGAGAATCGCTCCTGGTCCTGGATCTAAATGGGGTGACTGGAAAACATGGCTTCACAATCCCTCAAACAGCTTACCTATTTCTTCTACTCGGACTAATCGGGGAACTAACAAGATTAAACGGGGTTTCAGTGAAATGAAATTTCCAACCTTCTCTTTGACAGCTTCCTTCGCTCTAGATTTCCAGTCTTCCTTCTCAGAAGAACCCTTAGAAATCGGTTCGATTTCGTTTCCAAGCAGCTGCGCCCACTCCAGCTGCGACGTTGATACGATGAATAAGAAGAGTAGAACCACGATCCACGGTCTCGGCATTTTTCGCCCACCGCCCGACAGCCAATGTTTCACCGGCGAACAAAATTAGCACGCTGATAATTCTCGACAGTTGTCCGTGTCTGTCTGTTGGTCGGAGCTCCTCCACCAAACTATGGCGCAGAAATTTGGAATTTTACCGCCGCGATCCATAAACTTAGGTCAACTATCACCCATCGAGGTTGAAATTACATTTTGATACCCGTCGGTGGTGGGTTTTCACTTCCAAGTCCAGATGGAGTATCTATCATTTTAATGGAAGCTTAAGAGTTCTGATTAACGCTAAACAGCCATTAACCCATTAAGAAAAGGAGTGGAGAGTAAAGAAGATCAATATTCCAGAACCACGGGGAAAGGAAAAGAACAGCCATGGGAAACTCTCAGTCACCGCCCGCGGCCGCCGATCGTCGCTATGCTTCAGCCACTAGGTTAGCGCTTTCTCTGTAAACCAAAGTCGTTCTCTTTTGTTCACAATCTCAAACAGAGAACTGATTCAAATTTGGAACCGCAGAGCTTTCACCCATACCGAATTGGACCACTTAAAGTCGCTGTTCGCTTCTCTAGCTGCGAAATCCAGCAGCAACGGCGATCACATCTCCCCTTCGGTTTTCCAGGTGAGTTCCCCTCATTTCTGCTCCACCCTTTTCCCTGCTTCTTCGATTGAGAACTGTTAATTTCCCATTTCGAAGTGCTGAAACTTGAATTCCTGGTGTTATAAGGAATATTTTGGGTTGAAGGGTGCTCTTGGCCAGAAGCTGCTCGATTTAATTACCCAACCACGGAAAGATGGCAGAATCAAGTTCGAAGACCTCGTTATTGCCAAGGTAAAAAGGCTTCGATTTTAAGCTCTTTCATGCACTTTGTTGCTGAAGTGATGAACATCTGCTGCAGAGTGTTTACGAGAAGGGTAGTAAAGATGAAATTGAAGAGTTCATCTATCAGTTGCTCGACGTAAATGGAGATGGAGTTGTCGATAGGTAGAGTTTCTTCAAAACTTACTTTAAGCATAGCAATGCTGAACAATGTATAGCTTAAATATGGTGGGGGAGTTTCTCATGTCATCATCCATTGGTTGTGATGCTAACTTGATGGTAGAGTTTGATCATATTCTTGCACCCTCTAAATGCTTCATCATCCATTCTAGTCTCTTTCTTTTGGATCATTTGAAAAACCAGGTCGGATCTAGAATCTGCTCTGGTTGCAGTTCTGCACAGTATTTTTGGTACAGAAGGTTCTGAACATGGTCAGGAGACTGTCAATGCCTTTCTCGATGCTGCAACTTTCTCTAAGGAAGCGAATGGTGATTCCGGAAAGGCCATGTCTCTTGCGGATTTTAGAAGTTGGTCTGCTCTCGTTCCATCAATCAGGAAGTTCCTTGGGAGCTTACTGATACCGCCTGATGCTGGTGCTCCTGCTGCTCTTGCTTTCTTTCCATCTTTTCGTCTACATTGCATTAGGTTTCCTACAAGATTCTGACTCCTTCAACATCTGTGTTCTTTTGTAGGAAGGCCTGGTTCTCAAGTTCCTGAACTAATATTCGGAGAAGAGGTCAATTCCAATATGATCTTACTAAGGAAAGAATATGCGTGGCATATAGGAGGGGCACTTCCACAGCACGAGCTGGAAGAGTGGAGACTTCTGTACCACAGTACTGTGAACGGTCTAAGTTACAACACTTTTGTCAGCAGCATCTCGTGAGTAGTCGGTCTCATGGCATTTGCCCGGACGATTAATTTAGAGCTTCGACTTTTTTATGTTTCCTACGCGCTTGGATGGAACCTGCAGGAATGGCGAGGGACCAACTGTATTAGTTATGAAGGATAAAGAAGGGTACATCTATGGGGGATACGCCTCTCAACCGTGGGAGAGGCATGGCGACTTTTATGGCGATATGAAGTCGTTCCTGTTCCAGCTCCATCCCAAGGCTTCGCTGTTCAAGCCAACTGGAGCAAACACGAATGTTCAATGGGTATACGTCTCCCTTTTTACTACAAGCAGTTAAAACCAATCTAGCACTTTAATTTCACTTCATCCTCTCTTCACGGATTGGCAGTGTGCGGTGAACTTCAGCTCAGAGAGCATCCCAAATGGGATTGGTTTTGGTGGAAAGGTGAATCACTTGGGGCTCTTCTTGTCGGCAAACTTCGATTCAGGGCATACCTTCAGCTGCACAACATTCGGCAGCCCATGCCTTTCCAAGACCAGTCGGATTGTCCCAGAAGTAGTCGAATGCTGGGGAGTTGTTCAGAGTAAAGGAGAGCAGGAAAAGAAAGATGGTCCAAGAGGTACTGTGCTGGAGAGGTTTAAAGAGGATCGCCACATGCTCAACATGGTTGGAATTGCTAATTCGAGCAACTAAGAACCCAACTAGCAACCAGCACCAAATGCTACTGGAGAGAGGGGACATATTTCAAGACAACAACAGCAGCAGCTCCAAATGCACTACTGCCTGGCAGTTTGACACTACAAGACACTGCTGCCTCGATCATGGATTGTGGCGGGTGTGTTTAATTTTAAGGAGTTGCGTTTTTCGACATGGAAACGAGTTTTGTAATTACACCAATCACGGCAACTGATGTCAATACTCGATAGATTACCATTTTGCATCGAGCGAGGACAACCCATCTATAACCTGGTCTGCATTTGCAGTGTGTTATCAGCAGAATCCTAAGAATCATTGATGTGAGTTCAGCATGCATTGTCCAAATACTCCTAAGAATCATCTTCTATCATCGGCACAAATCTTGCACAGCGAGATGCAGGGGTGTCATCAACATTCGCATACAACTACCAATCCTGCATTACGCTCAAATGCCTGTGTCTAGCAACCTGAAGCAAGCTTACAGCTAATAGCTCTCAACTGGAAACAAGATGCATTCTGCATCCATAATCAAGAAAGGAAACTGGAAGGTAGAAAGACACCATATGAGCAAACACATCGGACTACGGATTCTTCACTGCACAGCCACATATTCCACTTTAATTTGACGCCCTAATTCAAAGCATCGACTGATATCAGGTAATGCATTAGCAACCGCAAACTGATCTCTAGGCTCTAGCCATAAATTCATACAAAATGCCAAACCTTGGGAAATTTAAGCATAAACCATTGAAACGTAAAAGACAAGGACACCCTTTCCCTCTCCAATTCATCCAAAAACCTATCAGTATGGCCAATCGAAACAGCAGTTCTAGAACAACACTCAACTAATTAAGAAATCTAGAGCACAAAATAAAATAACAAAAAGCAACTGCTCCTTCACTATATCATTAAGAATCTTCAGTACCTCCCACGGCCGCCGCCGCCGCCTCTTCCAAACCCGAACCCGGCAGTGGAAGCTGCGACAGGATCGATGGTTTCAAGGCCCTGCATATCACCCATCCCAAGAGCATCAATCATATCTCTGGTCTCCTTATCGATCTTAATAGCCTCGACGTTGATGGCAGACTGCTCGGGGACGAAGTCCATGCGGCGCTCGCGCTCTTCCTCCTGGAGTTTGAGTGAGATCCCGCGGACGGGGCCCTTCTGGATCCGCTTCATGAGGTGGGTGGAGAATCCGGCGATCTTGTTGCGGAGGCGCTTGGAAGGGATGATTGCGACTTCCTCCAGGATCTTCTTGTTGGTGTGGAAATCGAGCGTCATTTTGGAGTAGTAGCGCTCGATGACCTGGCGAGAGGATTTCTTCACCGTTTTAGTTCGGACGCGACCCATGGCTGCTGCTTTCTGCTGGTGCTGTCTCCTCTCCGGCGCCGGGGACTGGAAACCGGTTAGCCGCCGAGTTTGTGCGCGGAGAAGACGAGACGGAGCGAAGGCCGAGGAGTACGAAATTAGGGCTTCGCGGGAGTTTATATTATTAGGGTTGAAGTGGGTTCTGTTCAAGATGGGCCTTCGCCCTGCCTTATATTCATTTGTGGGCTTATACGCAAGGGTTTGGTCATTTCGTGTTTGTTACTTACTAGGCCCGGGAAATTTTCCATCTTTGTCCTACCGCCGGCGAAGGATTAATAATCAACTGTGTGGTCTATAGGGAGTTAGGGACCATTTTTTTTTTTTTTTTTACTGAAACCTGTATGTTTATTTATTAGTCATCGCATCCTTGTCCAAATAGGAGAGGATGGCAATAGGAGGCCTTGTGGTCCATAAAACAGTTTGATCCCCATTACAATTTAGGTGGGCCATTGCATGGGCTGGTTCATTGCCGGCCCGTTTGACAAAACTCCATCTGACTGAGCCCATCTCTTGCGCCTTCTCTTTCACTTCTCGAACCAGTACTTCCCTTTCCAGTCGCGTCATTTTCTCCGCCTGGATTTGTTGAATCGCAGCTAGACAGTCGCTCTCAATCACCGTTGGCCGAAGCTGTTGCTCCTCCGCCATCTACATGCCGAAGGTAATGGCTCGGAGCTCCGCTGATTCAGGATCCCAGCAGATTCTCTCTCGTCTCACAGCTGCGAAGAGGAAACCCCCATCTGCATCCCTTGCCACCGCTCCAAGTCCAATTCCTCCTTCCTCGAGCACCGCCGCGTCAACGTTCATCTTCACCCAGCCCGCAGGAGGTTTTTCCCAGGTAAGATTCCGCTGTGGTCCTTCCTCCTTCTCCGAATTGTGTTGTGCTCTGTATTCCTCCCAGTAATTTAGGGCTCGACCAATCACTTCCCACTCTTCCGCTTTCTTCCTGTTGAACATCTGATTGTTCCGTTCGCTCCACATTGACCATAATATGATTCCTAATTTCTCTAGCATTTCATCCCCCACTTGATCAATAACTGCACATAACCAGCTGCTAGATGATAGGTTTGGTTCTAATTCAAAGAGGGGACTGAAAGGTGACGAGCTCCAAATGCGAATTGCCCACTGGCATTCTCTAAAAATATGGTTCTGAGTTTCTTCCAAGTGACAAAAAGGGCATTCCACCGCCACCTCTTTCTTTCTTTATTCAATGTTCTTGTTTGTTGGTAGAATTTTATGTGCTAATCTCCAGAGGAATATCTTCACTTTTGGCGGAACCGTCAGCTTCCATAGTCTAGCCCAGTTCATGGGATCATAGGCTTCACAGTTTTGATCTCCAGCCTCTTCTTCCCCCTCCGCTGTTGTGTCTTGTTGGAAAGCTGTTAAGTTCCTCTTCTTGATCAGCAATCTGTAAGCCGATTTAACAGTGTAGCACCCTTTTCGCTCCATGCTCCATACCAGGATGTCTTTAGTTGGCTGCTGAGGAATTGGAATTGCCCTAATTTTCATTCTGTCCTCCATGTTAAAGAAACTCTGCAGCATATTATCACGCCATTCCCTTCTCTCGTGATCAATGAGGTCAATCACCCTTGATATACCTCCTGAGCTTGGTTTTGGTGTAGTAACTCGATAGTTAACTTCCTCTGCACCTGCCACCCAGCAATCTGACCATATCTCTATGTCTGATCCATTACCCACTCGCCATCTGATTCTTTCCTTCACTGCTTTTTGAGCAGCTAGGATACTTCTCCAAGTATAACTCGGGTTTTGTCCCAACTGAGCTTGCAAAATATCAGTGTTGGGGTAGTATTTGGCTTTCAACATTCTAGCTACTAGGGATTCTGGATTGTTTATGAGATTCCAGACCTGTTTCCCTAATAGCGCAATGTTGAAAGAGTGCAAATCCCTAAACCCCATCCCCCCCCTCCACTTTTGGTTTGCAGAGTTTATGCCAGGCTCGCCATGGGATTCTCCTCTCTTCCTTCTGCTGTCCCCACCAGAAGCTTGCAATGGCTTTTCTTATCTCTGTAGTCACCCCCTCTGGTATTAGGAAAACAGACATTGAAGAAGTAGCTTGAGCTTGTGCCACTGACTAAATAAGCACTTCCTTAGCTGCAATTGATAAGGTTTGTCCCTTCCAGTGCTTTATCTTCTGCTCACTCTATCCACCAATACCTGGAGGGCAGCCTTTTTCTCCCTTCCCATTACAGTCGGTAACCCCAGGTATTTTTGGTGAAACTCTACCTGTTTCATTCCAAGAATATTAGCCAGTTCCTCTCTTTTCATCTGGTCCACGCTGGGGCTAAAGCTTAACTCAGATTTTGTAGATTCACCACCTGTCCTGACTCTTCTTCATAGAGCTATAGGATATCCCTTAGTTGGCAACTCTCCTGTGGGGTAGCTCTAGTGAACAGGACACTATCGTCCGCAAAAAGTAGGTGTGAGATGATTGGCCCTCTGGCTGAGGTTTTCAAGCCATGAATCTTCCCTGAATTGACAGCATTTGTTAACAGGGTTGCTAAACCTTCCACACAGAACAGAAACAGGTAGGGTGAGAGAGGGTCCCCCTGCCTGAGACCCCTCTCTGGTTGAAACTCTTCTGATCTGTGTCCATTCACTAGGATCGAATAGGTGACTGTTGTGATGCATTTCATAATCATTCTTACCCACCTTTCTGCAAAACCAAGCTTTAACATCATAGCTTCTAGGAAATCCCATTCAACCCTATCATATGCTTTTGAGATGTCCAGTTTCGCTGCCATAAACCCTGTTTTCGCTCGGCTCTTCTGTTTCATGGTATGAAAGCACTCAAATGCTATGAGGATGTTGTCGGTTATAAACCTTCCAGGGATGAAAGCACTTTGCTGCTCTCCTATAACCATATTCAGCACCTGTTTAAGTCTGTTTGCAAGTACTTTTGACATGATTTTGTAGAGTACATTGCACAGACTTATGGGGCGAAAGTCAGTAGGGGTACTAGGTTTGTTCTTCTTTGGTATCAGTGCAATCAGAGTCTTATTTAGCACCATTGGGAATTCTCCCACCTCGAGGTAGCCTCTTAGCTCACTTAGAAATGTTTGACCCACAATATGCCAGTGTTTCTGAAAGAAACGAGCTGACATTCCATCTGGACCAGGGGCTTTTTTGGTCCCATACTTTTCAGTGCCAACCAAATCTCCTCCTCAGTAAAAGGTGCAAGGAGAGTCTGATTCATTTCAGATGTCACTCGGGGGGTAACTAAGGGGAGAATTCTGCTCTCCTCCACTCGATTCCCTCTGGTAAATAGGTCTTTCATGGATTCCACTAGGCAACTTGTCACTTCTTGCTGCCCAGTATAGACTCTCCCAACTGCATCATTCAGCTTTCTTATTGTATTCTTCCTTCGTCTTTCTGTAGCTTTCCTATGAAAGTATCCAGTGTTCTGATCCCCTTCTTTTAGCCAATCTGCTCTTGAGCGTTGTTTCCATTTCACTTCTTCTTGGAGGATGATATCGTTGAGCTCTTGTTTTAGGACTTTCCTCTGTAGCAACATTGCTTTTGTTCTTTTCCTTTTTTCCACTGCTTGTAGGGCCTTTTCTACTCTTTTTCGTCTCTGTTTCAGTGAGCCAAAGGCTTCTCTGCTCCAAGAAAGGAGTTTTTCCTCACATTGTTTGATTCGGTCCATAGAACCACCTCCTTCTGTTTGATTCCAAGCCTCCTCAATCACTTTTTTACAATCTTCATGCCTCTCCCAAAACGGTTCATAGCGGAAAGACCATCCCCAGGTGATTTCCTCTTCAGTCAAGTCTAGTTTGACTTGAATTGGTATGTGGTCTGACCCGCAGCGCTCCAGGTGGTATACTCTCATGTTTGGATAGCATTCTTTCCACTCTTTATTTCCCAAGGCTCTGTCAAGCCTCTCCTCAGTGTATTCATTGTCAGCCCTGCTATTTTCCCAGGTGAAAGTTCTCCCATAGTAGCCACAATCTTCCAGGTTGCAAACCTCAATTGTTTCCCTAAACATCTCCATCTCTCTAGCTTCTGGTTCTTTATGCCCACTTTTTTCTAGATAATCCGTAATCAGGTTAAAATCCCCAATCACTAACCAGGGTAGATTAACCTGTTGACTCAGTCTTTCCAACATTTCACAAGTCAGCTTTTTGTTTTTTGCTTCTGGCCATCCATAGACTCCTGTCAGTCTCCGGAAAAAATCCCACTGTACACACGTTCTTAAAAAAAATTCCCAAAATACATAAGTTATAAAAAAATTTCCCAAAGTACACATGTTTGGCATTCACCGTTTTTGACAAACGCAGTGAAGGATATCACCATTTTAGTTAAAAACGGTGAATACATTCACCGTTGTAGGTTAAGGCGGTGATCGTTTCCCACCCCTGGTAGGTCAAAATTAGGTCACATCTGCCAACTATTCACCGTTTGAGACAAACGCGGTGATGGTGTTCATCGTTTTCGACAAAAACGGTGAATAGTTGGCAGATTTGGTTATAAATACCACACCACCAGCAGTTGTAAGAACATAACCACTCCCCTTTCTTCAAATTTCAGCAACCAAAACCGAGAATAATACACAGAACAGGGATTTTTCGGCATGTTGAAACTTTTCGTATTATAGTCTAATGATGTTTTTAGTAGTTATAGTATGATTTAATTTTCGTATTATGTTGTTGTTAGTTAGTTGAATTTATGTTCGTTAGTTATGAGATGGATAATATTAGTTGTACAATATGATTTTGGTGAATTTTACTGTCTTTAAGCTAATAGATACTTATTGTATAAATTGTAGATATGGGTAAATTCAAGAAGTTTCATCTTACTATTCGGTGGAATGGAAGGGTGACAAACTCTGACATAGGCATTGATTATGAGGACGGCGAATCCATTATGCTGAAAATTGACTCCCGATTCAATTTTCAAGAACTCTGTGATATTTGTGCAGACAGGATTTGTACGAGCGGACAGACGAGACTTGGCAAAATTACTTACCGGTATCCAGACATGAGTGCTGGCGGGGTCGTGTTCCAAGAAGTTGTCATAAACGATGATGACGCGGTTACGATGATGTTACAGTTCCTAAGCGATAACCAAGTCCAGCTTGCAGAGGTGTATGTTGAGACCGAGGCGGTCGGTGAATCTCATTCTCACCATTATTCTCATGATGATGGTTTTGCAGGAGGGTACGGATGGGGTGGTAGTTCGAGCAACTACGAAGGCGGTGGTTATACAGGAGGTTACGGAGAGGGTGGTGGTTCAATCAACTACGGTGGAGGTAGTAGTGCAGGATGGGTGCCATCGGAAGA